CGCCGGGCGGCTTAGCGGGCAGCACGGGGCCGGCCCGGCGAGCGCCGCGCGGAGCCCTCGGAGCCCCCGTTCCCAGCGGGACGTTTTGCTTTGCACCCCAGAGCCTGCGCCGCCGTCCTGCGTCCTTTTGGGTGCGGATGCAGCAAAGACGGCGCCAGGGTTTGGGGCGTCGGGGTCCAACTCTCGGCTTGCAGTGAGACGCGTTGCGCTCTTCCTCCACCTCCTCCTCCTCCTCGGTGTGCCCTGGTGTCTGCTGCTCAATGCGCTGCCCAGGAACAGGGCAAGGAGGCAGGGGAGCAATGGGGAGACGTGGGGGGCTTGCGGGAAGGGGTTTGGGCACGGGGGAGCGCGCGGGACCCGCCGCGGTCGCCGCAGCTGCTTTGCTGCTCTTTACCTCCTCATGAAATATGCATCGCCCCCTCTTAAGCAAAAAGGATTTGCTTCCCCCTCTCTTTAAAGCTAAGGCTGAAATATTTATTTCCCCCTCTCCCTGCTACCTCTGGTCGCAGCAAGCTCACGGGTACAGATGGAGCCCGCTGTGAGAAAACAGGCCCAGAAAAACGGGAAAAGTGAGAGCTGCCGTGGGGTGACACCATTCCCTGCTCTGCCTCCCCGCTTCCAGCATCTGCTCCCACCATTGGTTCCTTTTTCTCCCCTTTCCTGCCCCGTGTCTCATTGCTTGGGTGCTCGCGGGGCGGCACCGCTGGCAGGGGCTTTTCTGCCCTTTCTGCCGCTTGCCAGGGGCAAATCACCCTCCTGGCAGCAACGCGGGGCCCGCGCGCTGCCCCAGCTCCTCGCGGCCCCCGCGGAGCGTCTCGGGATCTCGGGAGCCGCTAATGACCGGGCTGGCAGGAGCCGCTCTCTAAGCTTCCCGGGGTGGCAGGTGTCTTGGAAAGCTGAAAGCTGTCACTTAAAATTACCACGGGCCTCGTCCTGCTGACAGAGCCTTTTCTTCCACCTCCTCTGGCTTTGCTGCCGCTCGCCAACACGCGCTGCTAAGACCCAGCATGGAAAATCAGCCGGAGAAGCCGCCGCGGCATCGATGCTTATGGGGCAGGGAGAAACCCTTGGAATGACTTTGCTTTTCAGCGCGGATCCGGTCAGGGACCCGAGTGCATCCCTGGGGCAGCCAGGGGGGTTCCCGAGCTGCTTTGCCTCTCCCACCCTCAATCCCTATTACTTTAATAAAGCGGCGGGAGGCGAGTGTCACCCCATGGGACTGTCCCCAGAGGGGGCACCGGGGCTGCGGCGGGGGGACGCGGTGGCCGCGGGGCCCGCGCGGCCGCAGAGCCTCCCTGCAGTCGGGCTTAGCTCAGCAGCTCCCCTGCGCCCCAGTCAAAATTGATTCAGCTGCTGCCACCGCGCTCACCCACCCACATGCAAATAAGCCCAAATGTCAGGAGTAATCGCTCCCGAGGAGGAGGAGGCGGAGGAGGCGGAGGAGGAGGAGGCGGAGGAGGAGGAGGGGGGAGGGCGGGCTG